TATTGTATAAATATAGTTATCTTTTTAAAATAGTGATTCCATTTGTTATATCGTACAGGGAAAAAATAAAGACATGTCTTCCCCAACTTTAATTATGGTACATCATCAAAAATCAGAGATTTGCTTTTGTAATACAAACCTGAGCAGGTAATTAATTGAGAAATAATTAAATCAGGTTTCCCCGAGTTGGTTTAAAAGGCGTTCCGATTGAGGAAGTTTGGTTGAGGCGATTATTGAAGATGTTCGGAAACCAATACGCTGCCATCATCTGAAATTATAGCTGCCAATTAAACAAGCCGTTTAAACTGAAGTAGATCCATCAAAGAACGGATTAATGCTTAAGGTACTTTCTAGTTGAAAGTTTCGGCTTTGGTAGAGAATCGCTTGGATGACAGGATTATTTAAAAAATTCTTGTAGGTCAGGTTTTCTTTGACAATTTGATTGCAATCAATAAATAAAACAGAATCAATTATGATGCGATGAACAAAAGCCAATCAAACTTTGACCACCTTATTTTCGTGTGCGACATGAATAACGAATGAGGCGTGAAAGTATGCATGAATAAACAATGGCCCAGAGTCTAGTTAAAATATTATGCAACCACATTTCATGAAATAAACAGAGGTTTACCCGGATTAAAAGAAAAGCTTTAAGAAATTGTCAAATTTCCGTCAGAAAAGCACAACATAAAAGACTCACCGTAGGCGATTATATTGATTATACTCGGATTTAATTGTTTTAAATTAAATCTGTTTAAAAAGGCGTATTTTTCCTTTGGGTTGTGGGTTTAAAAGGAAGACAACCCGAGAGTGTTAAAGGGACTAATATATATATGGCACGGCCTGGCGAATTCCCGGTAAGACTTGGAAGTTTGTCCTCCTTCGGGGCGAAAGTTTTGAGCCGGAGTTATGTATGTACATTCCGGCTTAGTGAGGAAGAGGGAGGCAGGATTTCGAAACCCCTTTCACCCCTAAATTCGACCTCGAACTGACGGATCCTCTAAAGCTTACCTTAACCTTACATTCCTCCTTATTACATTTCTGAAGCGAAACTGCCAAAGTTATACTGCTGAACTTAAAGCGGGAATTTTTTTTTTGCATCGAACCACCAAGCCACGGGTTCTGCCTCCTCAAAATCAATTTTACGAGCTTTCGGGGATTACAGACTTATTGGGTGAAGTGACCGTGATAAAATGGGACTGGCGGAACCGTCACTTTATTTTTACTGTACCAAACACAAACCTTTTGATTTGGCCTTACAACAACGTGTAAATTTTCTCCAACATTTTTATTTCTGACAATTTTGTCAGACCTCTACATACAAAATAAACCTATAGACATTGATCACATTAAATAAATATCGAGTAAATAAAAAAAAGAAATTTTCGTACCATTTAGAACTTTGAAAACCATACACACAAATTTTATTTAATTTAAATTTACACCCTCACTCTTTGTCACTATGCCTCACTGTCTTTCTTTTTTTTCTTTCTCCCTCGACCTCTCTTTCTTCTTCTCACTCTGATTCTCCCTGGCCCATTTCTTTTCTCTCTTTCTGACTTTGACTCTCTCTCTCTCTCTCTCTCTCTCTCACTCTCTCTCTCTCTCACTCTCTCTCTCTCTCTTTCTCTCTTTCTCTCTTTCTCTTTCTCTCTCTCTCTAACTATCTCTATCTGTGTGTGTGTGTGTGTGTGTGTGTGTGTGTGTGTGTGTGTGTGTGTGTGTGTGTGTGTGTGTGTCTTGTGTCTTGTCTGTCTCTTTCTCTCTCTTTTTCTATATTTCACTCACTTTTTCTCTTTTTCACCGTTTTTTATGTTTCTCTAGTTCAGAAACAGAGACCAATATTATGATTCTCCCACGGCACACCCATTTCTTCTAATATATACTATCAAAAATGGTAAAATAGCTTTCTCTAAACTTGTGCTAGATGAAGCGAGTTTGGACGTAATGATTTTACAGAAACATTTTCATGGATGTAATGTCGCATTTAGGCCGATTTTAGAGTTAACCTTGCTATCAAGTGTTCAAACACTAAAAGCTGTAAGAATTAATTGTTGGTTTGGTTTTATTACGGTACAAATTCGCACTGCGCTAAAACCGCTCGCCCTTGCCATAGCGCATTGTTACCAAGAAAGTTCCTGATAGTAGAAGTAACCTAATACTGCGCAACTAGTTGATACGAGATTAATTGTAAACTTTCAAACTTCATTTACATTTAATTAGAGATTATAAAGAAAATAAAAACTTCAGAGGAATAAAAAAAGACATTCGTGTGGTTAACTGTAAAATAGTAATCAATTATAAGCCTTGTCATTAAACGCTTCCATTACCTTGACGATCATTATCATCCATTCCCGTCAGGTTTTGCTTTGACAAGTTTCTGGTGTACAATTCAGTTTTGAGTTTACCCATTTGGCGTCTGATTGGTATGTCGCGTATCGACGGCTGTTTTGCCCGTTTAGTGGTCGTTTTTGTTTCGAACTGTTCGCCGTTCTGACTAAGTTCCGTAATGAATCAACCGTTGTTAAAAGTGCCGGCACATATCTAACTTTTCCAATACATCTACGTCGCCGGGGCCCGGATCGATTCTTACACGTGCCGGGCGGATTGTAAGAACCTCACTGAGCGTTTTATAAAACATGTGACGATTGTAAAATCTATATTTGTATTTTTGACATATTCACGCCCCTTCTTTACTCTCAATCATCCCGAGTCAATTCTTAAAAAACTAATGAACTATGCTCCGCAAAATATGGATACTCGCCAATTGACATTCTCTCACCCTCTCACTCTCTCTCTCTCTTTTTCTTTTTCTTTCTCTTTCTCTCTCTCTCCCTACTTTCTCTTATCAATAGACCTATAAGTTACGTATTTTACTTATTTTACTTTCCTCTTCAACGAACAAGCTTCAATACTCAAAATTCAAAACTTAATCAAATTCACATACGGGAATCAGTGTTACCAGCAGGGTTGCTGAAATTCGTATGGAGGGAAAAATGATATAACCAATTTCCCTAACTGAAAGGTTTGTAAGTATTTTAGCTGGGCACTCTCTTTCTCTCTCTCTCTCTCTCTCTCCCTCTCTCTCTCACTCTCTCTCTCTCTCTCTCTCTTTCTCTTACTCACTCACTCACTAACTCACTCAATACCTTTACTATCTCAAACAGTGATAATTATTTTCAATATCACGGCGTTGCCCTTATGCTAAATCCTCACGACAGCTGGGTCGTACGGGACTATTAATCTGTGCGCCGTGTAATTGGGCGGGGATCAGTAGTCTCTCAATTTTACGCTCTCTCCCTCACCCCCTCATTTTTTTCCATATCTCGTTTACCCTTTCTGTGTATAAATGTCTCGTTGGAAATAACAAAGTAACATTCTTCATGTTTTCTCCTCGCACTCATTTTGATTTTCCTTTGTCGCCCTCTTTCTCAGGTTCCCATTCTATCTCTTTTTCTCACAACCTCACTTTCTCTCCTTCTTCCATTTTTATATATTTCTCTCTTTCTATCTCTATTTACAAGTCTTTCTGTCAGACTCTCTCTCTCTTTCTCTCCCTCTCTATTTTCTCTTATCAATAGACCTATCATTTACGTGTTTTACTTATTTTACTTTCCTTTTCAACGAACAAGCTTCCACGCTCAAAATTCAAAACTTAATCAACCTCACATACGGGAATCAGTGTTTCCAGCAGTGTTGCCCGAAATTCGCATGGAGGGAAAAACGATATAACGAATTTCCCTAATCGAAACGTTTGTAAGTCTCTTTGCTGGGCTCTCTATCTCTCTCTCCCTCCCTCTCGCCCTCTCCCTCTCCCTCTCTCCCTCCATCCCTCCCACCAACTCTCTCTCTCACACTCACTATATCCCTGAAAACACAAATTAGAAATAATTGTTAGTTAGACATGTTGATTTTAAAATAATAAATGTACTAAATATAATGCTTAGGAACCATGGCAAAAAATTTGATATTTTTAAAAGCCTCCTATCAATCATTACCGGCGATTTAAAAAAAGAAGGATCGGAGTGAAATCCACAAATTATTTTTACTTAATTATATTTTATTAAGTACATGTTATTGTTTAAAGTTTAACAAAATATTCTTGTAGGCGCCGTTAAATGGGGCGCGCAGGTGTGGTCGCGAAACAATAATGAAAATAATTAAATAAACTAAAATTGAATAAAGGCCCAATACCTGAGCCATTCTACTTTTCAGTAGCGAGCGATGCAGCACCTAAACCCTCAACGTAACCAAGACCCTGGATAATATGAAGGCTTAAATTACTACGATCCCCTTCTAGGTTCCATCCCAAGGAAGAAAGAAGAAAACTAAACTGAAAACAACTTTCATGTCTTGAAGTAAGGAATGCTAACACGTCGGAAGCACGGAAGCAAGACTTCAGTTCTTCTCGGACGCATAAGAGCATGACACGACGGGAGCAAGTTTAGGGATTAGGCGCAAGGGGATGTGGCAGCATTTTTGCAGAAATATAAATATTTACGCCAATTACTTTGGGTTAAACAATTTTAAATTGCCAACTTTAAATATTTTCATATCATAATATTTCTAATCGTATATTGATGAGTTTACCACAATATATATTTGTCTCCCCTTTTCAGCATACTTAACATTAATTATATTTTCGATATTTTGCTAAACTTCAAAAATCTCATATTCAGTTTTCCCCCCCTCGGCGAGGCAAATAATGCTCTCCAGCACCCCCCCCCTTGGTTAGACCTTTATTAATTTAACAATTAATTAAATAATATTGCCTCGTCTTCCTAAAAGCTTTTACGATTAAATATGATTCATTTAAGACTCCAATAATAAAGCGGATGGTTAAGGATCAATAAATTCTTGAAAATGCAGTGAGGCGATAGTGCCGTTACTCTACAATTTCACCTGTCACAAGTGGCTTGGATTTAAAAACCTTTCACAAAAGGTCTAATCAATCTTTACTTTAATGCTAGCTTACCTAGATATCTTTTTTTCTGTTTCAGGCTTTGGGTTTGTCACTTTCCAGTGCGAAGACGTTGTAGACAAAGTGTGCGAAATACACTTTCACGAAATAAACAATAAAATGGTAAGTCTTTTTTTAGCAGCTTTCTCTACTTTTAAATTGTGTTGTGACACTAGCTTTTGAGCTTAAATATACCAAACCGAAAATGAAAACAAACTTGTAAAATGAAATCGTGTTGAGGCTAATTCTCTTATAAATACGTTGTGCCTTAAACTTTAGGCTACATTTAGAAAATTAAAGTAAACATTTGAATATTGATATCATGTCGTTTTGATAACATGATCGATGATGATCTAAAAGGCTTTTTGTTACCTGTGTACTTAAAACGCTAACATGAGAGTGAGCAGCAGGACCCATTTCTGTTTATTTATTCCACGTGTGTCTTTTATAAAATTAGATTAGGGTCTCGGCAAAAAAGCGGCCTTCCGTCCACTGTCTAAGTGAATATAAAAAGTATTAAAAAACGCAAAGCCCTCTGGGATATAAATATTAAGGAGTTGCCGTGCAGGAAACGCGAAAAGCGTTTTCCACGGTTCCAAGGAGCAAAGGGCTAACAATGATGGATGCGAACGATTAAACAGCCTAGCTGCCTCCACCGTCGTAAAAACCGTGAATCCCTTGTCCCTTTTGCCGAAGCAATTTACATCTTTCTTACCCTAATGGGCGAAATTCTTCTTTTTATAAGTTATTATGGATGGATAACCTGAATCGGGTTAAATGGACATTTACGAGTGGTTTAATATTAACAGGTTTTTACGGCTGATCAATATCCGCCCATGTTGAAATATGTACAATGTCTCCTATTCACTAATAATGTTTTTTTTAAACATATTACGATGTTTAAATATAAAAAATTCAATGCCAGTATTGAAAAATATATATTATTTAGTTCTTCACTAGTGATTAAACATTTGCCAAGTTAAGCAATCTTTGCGCTTACGGATTTCTTTAATAGCCGCCTGGAACGGAACAGGAAAATAATTTGGTCGGTTTGTCTAACTAGTTTCATTGTTTCGCCATCCTCAGTGTATTCAGAAAAACAGACCAGGATAAACAGAATAAAATGTTATGTAACGACCAAATAAAAGATTCCTTGTCTCGTAGACCACAAGGAAAAATTACCGTGTGGAAAAAAACCGAGGTAAATCGAAAGTATACAGAAGGATGTGTCACCGAGGTGCTACCCGAATGATCGAACATATGGTAAAATGATTCTTAGAGAAAAGTATTTATTTGCTGCATTCCTAGACTGTCAAATAATCTGGAGAAACTAAAATAAAAAAGTCAATGTAACATAGTCATATTCGTCGTCAGTCAGACCTTTAGTTGAAGGTCATAAAGCGCAGCTGCCTTTCGCACTTCAATTTAAAAGAGTCAGGATGCTTATTGTGATGTGATAAGACAAGTTAACAAATTTTTTTAATGTATAATAATCTGGATGTAGGTATGGTCTGGATGAAGAAATGCAATTGTTAACGCCACAAGATTTTGACCTATTTTAAAGTCTTCATCAGGGCCATGGTATGGTATGGGATGGTAAAAAAGGATACTAGGAAGCGGGGTTTGCGCTCCCCAGGCACTGCAGCCTTCTGGCTTACTGTACCTTCATAGTGCCTTAGTTCAGTGCAGTAGACTCTATCCTTCTCCTTAGAAGTATCAGGTCATTGACTGTCGCAGCTGCAATTCGATTCCTTAAGTTTTTACCCTACGTTAAGTTAAATCTCCATTGAGCTGTTGCTTCGCATTCGAGATGATATGAGTGGCTGTTTCCTCCTCTTCATTACATAATCTGCAAATGGGATCATCGTTGTATATACCCATGTTGTTTAGATGTTTTCTCAGATGCCAGTGACAGGTTAGTAGTCTTATCACTAGCCCTCTCCAGTTGCAGCAGTGTTTTTGCCAGTCTCGGTGAGGAGACACATTTAATCATAAGTTTACTATGTGTAGCACCGCTAGAGTTTATCCATTTTTCCTTTTATTTTGCTTGGATCCGTTCTGCGATGGAGGATTCGATATTTGTTCTTGTTATCCCAAGAATAGGTTCGTCGCCTATGTATGGTCTTGCAGATCCTCCTCTGGCCAGACTGTCTGCTTTCTCGTTACCCAAAATTCCCCTGTGCCCTGGCACCCAAGATATCATCAGGTTGTTGTTTCCCCAGGTTTTGGAGATTTTGGGTGCATTTATTGACTAATTTTGATGTGATTCTTTTACCTGTTAATGCTTTAATGGCTGCTTCGCTATCAGATCTTATGAGGTTTTTTTTTGTCAGGGTAACCTTTTTTAAGATTTCCAGGGCACAAGCATTGATAGCATGTATTTCTGCTGGAAAGACCTTCCCTAATGTGTTTGATTGCTCACGTTTTGGGCTTGTACAGCAAATGCCCAATCTGATTCCTTCGTTTGTTTTGGAGCTATCTATATACCATATCTTTGTATCTGATGCTCTCCTGTGTTCTTCCTCTCCTTTATAGTCCGTTGAGACTTTCTTGGAAGTTGTGAAGAATGTTTCCGGGATCTTTTAGTCAGTCCCCATTTCTAATAATGGTTATCTGATTTTGTTGATTATGGTTGTATGCCCGAATTGTTTAGTTCCTTTCCAATTTAATTGTTTCTGGAGCCTAAGTGAGTTTTCCTAGCCTCTCCTTGTATAAATATTTCCAATGGAGGTAGGTTTAGCAGAGTTTCTAATGCATTTGTAGGGATTGTTCTCATTGCCCCTGTGATACATACGTTTGCTAGTCTTTGTTACCTAATGTTTGGGTCGCGACGTTTTGTTGAGCTTTGTTCCACCAGATTAATGATCCATGGGTTATTCTGGGTCTTATTACTGCCGGGTATAGCCAATAGGCCATTTTCAGTTTTAATCCTCAAGATTTGCCTATGGTCCTTCTTGTGGTCATTAGCGATATTTTACTTTTTGTTATAGTACTTCATAAGGGCAAATTTTAAATATGGCCATATTGTAGTTAAGTTATTAATAGATCGATACAAATTTCTTTGAATAATACGCTAATTTTATAATCCTTGGAAAATTTGGGACTGAATCTCCAGACCATACCGAGATCCAAACTATTCGAGTGTTAAAACGTGGCGATATATCTAACACTTTAAATAGAAATGTGATCAACTTTGACTAGCAATTCCTAAAAATAATAATAATAAAAGCTAAATGTTCCATTCTGTAAAATCAATTTTAAGAGAATCGTTATCCTATGGTTAGAACGTATAGAAGGAGTCTCTGAGCTAAATTTGAAAAAAGTACAAACCTTGTATGACAAAGTTTTTAGTCAAGCAGTGTATATGAAATCGAAAAATCCATACAAATTTGAATATATAGTGTGTACTATAAAGCAATATCATTTCAGGAGGAGGAATAATTTGAAATTTGTAAATCAGTCAGGTCAGTGGTAATCCTTCACTTAAAACCATATCTTTCGCAACACGTCCTTAAGGACAAGACTATTTTTAAAGTCAATTACTCCATTTAATTACTGTTGTTAGGAATTGCTAAGTGACCAAGTACAGTTTGGTCTGGACATTTTCGTCTCTCTGTCCTTATTATTTTGGTCTGCCAAATGATCAAAAGCGACCGAAATACAAATTCATTATCACATACTTCAAGAAAAAATTACTTTATTCGTACGTCAATACAGGGAACTTCCCGAATATTGTGATAATTTTTTAATTTAGTTGCTGATTTTAATGTTTGTGGCTATGTTAGCTAATGTTTCAAAACGTCTATTGAAAACAGTTCTTTGTTTTAAAAGGTCATCAAGATGATAAAAACACTCGTTAATTACGGTAAGGCAAGTTACGTGGATGAAATATCATCACCCTTCATCAAAATTAGCTCAAGGTGTCAAACAGAGGGCGTTAAGTTCGTTTTAAGAAAGAGATAACACATACTACAAGGGGTGTCGTAATGGGTAGACGAAAGCCGGAGAGAGAGAATCTGTCCAGAAATAGAAATTTATCCTAGGAGCATAAACGGCCAGATCTGTAATGGTGCCACAATGGATTGTGGTGGCACTTTGTGCTGGGCGACTCCTTGTCACTTCGAAACTTCTTCAACTGTCAAATACTTCTCTCGTTGTTAACGGCCAGCCTCGATATTCAGCCTCTATCGAATTTTTCTTATAAATCATTTCCAATTAAAAATAGTGGATCAACTAGTCTATATTGTCTTTTCACGATGGTTTTTAAGGTTCGTGTCACTCGTTCACACTCACTCGTTGTTCTGTGAGGTCCTTTACAGATTTGTTATATTTAATCGAAATAGAAGTTATATTTGCAAAAACTAAGTTGGGTTTTTTAAATAAATCGTCAAAAGGTTTATCTTAATTTCTTACTCTGGATTGACACGAAGAGATCAATCTTTATGTAGCTCAAGGGTGAAAGAAATGTCATGATGGCTGATCCATGTTAGATTCTTTATGGTAGTGTTGGTACTAATATAATATTGATTTACACTTTGGATCCCTGCATTATTTCAGGAAAACGAGTACTTAAAATAAAGCAATTCTGTTTTTTTTTTTTAATTTTTTATTAAGCAAACTTGAATTCCTTCGTATTTTTGCCCAAAATAAATTTTTCTCTTGACCAATTAAGTCCCTAGAAGTAAATTATTTTTTTTTTTTTTAATCGAGGAGACTTAGTTATTCCTGGCAAACAGGCGGTCGGGAAATGGTTGGAAAGGTGGCGCATGAAACCTAAATAAACAAAACCTGTTTGCCAGTGGGCCGAGGGCATAAAGGAAGATAAAAGCTGCGACGACGGCAAATCTTGTCATCCCCGGACTGAAAATTAAAGGAAAACACCGGGAGAAAATCTTTGCCTATTTGTCAACGGCGCGAGTAGCTCGCGAACCTGACATGCAGTCTGTTTCTCTAATACCAACGAAAGTAAATTAGTCTAATTTATACACTGGGTTAGATTGCCCCTTGAAATAAACTGCGCAAAACGAATAGGAATATTTGTAATTTATTCCTATTCTATTAGTTTTAATTAAAATAGCCGATACATCGTTATTTCGATAAAACAAAATAGAAAATACAAACCA